TGCCAAACGCCCAAGAACGCCTCCCGCCACTTCTCTGCTGACTACCACTACCTGGGTGGTTATTATGGCGCTTGCAATGCGGAATTAATGCAGTTGGAGCTAGTGCGAAACGGTCCTTTCCCGGTAGGATTCGAAGTCTACTCCGACTTCATGGCCTACCAGGGCGGTATCTATCACCACACCGGCCATCACGTAAGTCATTTTCACGGCGGCGATGCACCCCATTTTCCTCACTTTGTCCCTTTGCCTCATTTTGCCAGAACGTCCTCAGAATTCACTTTGAGTTGCTGCAGGGAATCAGCATTATCACTCAGCACTTGGGCTGATGTCCAGGACGTCCATTCATTAGCAAATGCTGTCAGCTTCGTGAACTGAATAGAGTGTTCCTGCTGAATTAGGACATTAGCGACCAACGTCACGAAATACTAGTGGCAGTTCTGAAATGCATTTTCGACTTGGAAGATTTTCTTAAATGAGGTTGTGGTTTTTATTTCAATGTCGCATATTTCAGTCATGCCAGGATTTCGACTCCCGATTGCAGGTTATTTTCGATCGCCTGCAAAAACCATACTCTGTAAAATTAATTACTAGCACTAATACATATTTATTCTACCGATTTTAATCAAAATTTATTTTACAGACAAACCGCCTAATAATATCCTCTCTTGGAGTCATTTTACAGCAAACCACATTTTTTTCAAATCTGCTCGAAGAAAGGAAATATTTAAATCCTAACAAGTTCCCAATTCACGAATAATTTAAAACTCGATCTGCCATGCAGCCACCTTTGGGGTTTACAATCGGTAAACTGTGTAAGGAAAACCCTATATTGCTGTATACCACAAATAGCCTCATACAGTTTTATAATGGATCTAAAACATGTTGATACACTGCTATTTGAATGAACCTTTTACGGTTTAAAACATATCCTTTAAATAGATCTTTTAGAAATGTAGATATATCCTTCGTTGGACGACAATTTACAGTATAGATAATTTGTTACCAAATGAGCAGCTGGTTGGGCATTTTATGCACCCATTTTATAAAATACATTGGAGCATCCAAAATCAATAGAAAATGCGTATTTATGTCACACGGTTACCAATAAGACAACCAGCTTCAACAACCCACCTCAATCGAAGAAGAATTTCAGAATCCCGGCTAGCGTTTTCTGAGTCTGATTACTGAACGTAGCTGTCTTGAAAACGTACTCTAGGAATCTAGTCGTAGTCGTCGTAGACGAGTTTACTAAATCAGTTTAAATGGTTTATTTCGAGAAATTACCGTGCTCGCGTTTACTTTTGACTGCACACTAAATTTCTTAAAAACAGATTACAATGCGTGCAGAAGTTCGTGAGTATTGATAAGACAATTTAAGAATGTTCTGGCCATTTTTCCCTGTACGATGGGGTGTAAGTAAAACCGTTGAATGTACACGTCGTTGCAGCCATCTTTTGACAAAACGAAACATTTGTTTCATGCTTTTGACCTGCTGGAAAACCCACATTCTTTTCTGATTTAATTATTAACGCTGTCTTGCTTTTTTATTTGGCGTAATGGTTGCTCACCCGTGTGCATTAAGTCCCAGGGAGGGGAAATTTTGCAACCAATAGAACTTCATGCATCGAATCACGATGCCTGTGTTGGTTGAGCTTACTGCAGTCACGTAGTCGCTGTCTGACCTGCTAGAGAGCCCACATTCTTTTATGATTAAATTATCCACACTGTCTTGCCTTTTGTTCGGCGGATTAGCGGCTTGTCCGTGTGTCTGGCCTGTCCGAGGCTTACGAACTTTTGCAACCAATGGATTTTCGTGTTTCGAATCACGATACCCGTGTTCGTCGTCGGGTTTACTGCAAAAACACAGTTGCTAAGATTTTACGCAATCATCCATTTGATTGTTATCTATCGAAAGGAGAGTCGTTACTTTCGACATGATTACACAGTAATTAGTTAGCCCCAACAAGTAGTGCTGACCTTTTGTTCACTAAATTGGAAAGAATTTTTTTCTTCTGCCAATGTATTCATGGTTGCCAGTTGCAGTAAGCAATATCTAGTGTCGTGGTCAGCGTAGGCATTCTAAATTTTTGCTGTCGGAGGTTTGGAGATGGAGATCTGTATCGGGTCAAGAGCCCTTACATATGTTCGCGTCATTAGAGCATGTTTAATGGCCAACTGCTTCAGCCAGGAAAATCGTTTAGACAGCTAACCTTCGGTGTGGTACTGGACCTAACCACCAACTTCGCAACTTCATTCCTCACATTCGATCTTTCACTCTACTTACAAGAGACTCGTTGTGTATGTGACTAGAAGAGTAAAGCATAGAATAATT